TGTAGATAACTAGTATCACTAATACTGTTATTGGAGGTTCGATCTGCCCCACCTTAGATAACTAGTATCACTAATACTGTTATTGGAGGTTCGAACTGCCCCACCTGTAGAAAGAACAGACTTTTCTTTTTTTTACCACCGTTTTATAAAATATTTCTAATTCGCCACAGTAAACTCAAAAAGCTTTCAATTCGGTGAGGTCCACATACGCATTTGTAAACTTTACACGTGAAAGTCTCGTTAAAAGAAACTTTAAAATCAAACTTTTTTAAATATTTAATTGTATGGCAAACTTATAGAAGTGGTTTGTCATCACTTAAACGTATTTACCGTATTTCATCATTTAAACGTATTTACCGTATTTTGAAGTGTAATGTTTTTTTGGGGTTTTTTTTTTGTTTTGTTCTTCCTTCAGCTCGGAATTCACATGGCATAATTCAACCAGACGTTACTTTTTACCAACGACCACCAACTAAAGATACAAGTACGAGTCTCTGTACTACCCACTGCACCAACTTTCGGTTAACTACGCCGATACGCCCCCTAACGCCGGCCTATCAACCAACACAGCCAGTTACCGTGACAACAGTAAGTGTGCCCACTTCTTGTGATGACCTGACATTACCACCAGGTTACGTGACGTCACGAGATCTACGAAAGAGCCATTGATTGTTTCCGTTTCAGCCGTCAGTGATCAACAAACAGGGGCGTATAAAACGTGGGGCAAAGGTATGCTCCCCTCCCGATAACTTGTTTATAGTTTATGTATATAATATGCGTTTGTTTCACGTGCCCCCTCTCCGTCCAAATTTAAATTACTGAGCATGTCCGTATAATCAAATGATAAACTTCATTTCTTGTACAGTATGTTTACGCTGACACTATAAAGACGGTCCCTTGCATTTCTAGTGTTAAAATTACATATGTTAACACTGACAAAACTTACTTTGCAAAAATTCTTTAGTGTGTGTGTGTGTTTACAGTGTGTTGATCCTGGTGGAGCGCGGGGTTCTTTGAGAAATCATAATCAGAAGAAAAAAATATATATATAAGTACTTATGTCGTTGGAATTGTGTGAGAGGAAAATATTGATATCGTTACCGTTTTCTCTAATTACTTCTCCTTACGGAACCTAGATGGCGCTCAGACTAAGTGAACAAATCATTGTGACTCTTCAGATGAACTGTGATGGTGAAAATAGCCTATGGAGCGATGTGTGAGAAAAGTACAGTTATCGATATGGATAGTTATTTCTTTTACACTGCCTAGATGGCGCTCAACTCACTTTATAGTAACAATTCAGAAGAATCACGTCATCTTATACTATACGAACTGAACAATATAATATAAATAAACAATATCTAATCCTTTCTATCATTTACAGTTTGTATGTATATAAAGTAAGGTACTTGAAAGCTCTATTTGTTGAATAATATATATATATATTATCAGAAAAGTATATTTCAATGTTCGAAACGTACCCAGGATTTTTAACAGTAAACATAGGGCCTTGACTTCTCCGTTGTGATTTGTCCGTTTGTTGATGAACATAATTACTGGCTCCAGACACGTATACATTTAATGTTTTGTACTAGTACTACTAGAGAGTTTTAAGTATCGTAGGTTCGCGAATAACAGCTCAATCTGAAATCAAGAATGTATTTAAAGCTTAAGGGGGAATATTCTGTAACATTATTTAACTTGCATCTAATATTTTATTACATATTCTGTAAAATCATTTACGTTTAGTATTTTGTTAAATAATTTGTGTCTTATAGAATTAATTAAGAAGAATTAAGGGTTAGTTCACATTCCAGGAACCATTAAGAAGTAAATAGAAATTTAGCAGTGTGATTACAGTTAACATTACAAGTATTTTTTATTCTTTATAAGAGGTTCCATATAAACGTGATCTGGCTCTCAGTTAAACAATTAACCATTGTTTTATTATTATTATTATTCACATGCTACTGGGATAACCTGTATTTATAAAGTCTTGATCTATTGTAATAAGTTTAGATATGAATAGCTTTACTGGTCTCGTAAACATTCTGCAATTTTTATATCCAGTGCAAGAAATGTCAGTACGCTTATTTCGTCTGTATATATACACTACCCCGAATAATTTGGCCATTGCATTCCGCTTGTCTTTTGATTGCTCGTATTGCGATAGAGGGTGCTAAATTATTCGAGTTATACACACACACAACGAAAAAATAATAAGCCTTTAAACAAAGTGCCTTCTTAGGCACTTAGTGAAGTTGCTGTGTTTCATGTGTGATAGTTTGATCACTGAGTGGAGTAAGAAATTTGAAAAAATTATGGTCTTCTGATCATCCAAAAATAAAAAATGCTGTTATTTCTTCTTCTTTTTTGTTATGAACTTTTTAACTTAAGTTTTGTAATAAATGATTGAATTAACTAAATACCTGAAAGATTCTTAATCTACATATCAAAAATATTACATTGGGAGTGAGATATACAAATATATATACATATAGATAGATAAACATGAAAGTATCAGCTTTCTTTTTTAACCCCCTGTAAGACATGAATTATAATTAACAGCCCTATTCGCAATATATTTTTTCTTGAGTGAGAGGGGGAAGTAGGTAAAAAATTTAATCAACAAACCAATAATAAAATTATATTATCGACCTCTTTGTTAAGAAATATGTCAACAGATGGCAGGCTAGTTAGTCTTTTTCTTTTCTTTTTTTTTTTGAGAAACATGAAAGACAATTAATCAAATATTCTAAACAATTTTTAAAACTGATCGTCTTTCAAACTAAAATTCAAAAGCCTATACTTAACAGAACATTATTTATCTTACTTCTAAATTGTTCAAATACCGTTAACACAGTCTTCAAAAAAGGGCTTTCGGAAGGTTACGATTAGTATCTGCTGGTTTTTCAGTGAATTATCAAATACAAAACAATATTATTAAAACACTCATAAAAGAAGTCTTACATTTCATAGCTATATGTGTAAATAACTTACCTTTTCATTCCCAAAAAAAATAATGACAACTCTAAGTTAATGACTATATATTTCTAAAGCTTTAGGGTGTAATAAATAAATAGTTAAGCCTAATTATTGGGGAAAAAAAAAGTAAAACCATAATCAGTGACCATTCCATTCGAATATTTCAGAGATATTACTGTGATGGTAACGTTTTCATGCATAATCTTGAAACTACAATTCTAAACACTGAATTTAGCTTTTGTTTTTTGTCACGCGAAATTTCATACTTTATAAATTCATACATAACTCACAAGCTTAGGCCTACAAGTAACTAGTAGCTGGTGATTAAAATATCAAAACTACGTGTCACTAAAGATTAGTTACCAAATCGCTAAGTTTCAAAAATTTTAGCAACATATAAAAAGACAATTATTAATATATTTTAGAAATGGAATTTATTTTTTAATAAATAACATCGTACAGAGCCCATTCTAACTGTTTTCCACAATTGGTACAAATATTGTACAGTTATATACAAAAGCACATTGAAGTTTAGGCTGTGCTAGAAAAATAACCTTTTATTAATCATTTCAATGTAACATCGTATTTGTTATACCACCTCATCCCAGAAATGATTGTTGTTGTTTTTTCTGCATAAATAAATACAGCCTGTATTTATTCTTCTGGATCATCACAAACTGAAAATGCTTAACGTATTACAATCTACGCGTGAGAAATATATTTTCTTGATTTTTTTAATACTATTTACATGTATATATTATGAAAGCTAATATTTTAAAATTAGTATATGTTTGGTAACTAAGCATGAGTGTGAACTACAATGAGTTACACTGTTTAAAAATTAAATGCTTAAGCTGGAAAATTAATATAAAAAACACCCGCCTGCACGTACTAGAAAAAAAAACTCGCATTCAGGGATCTTATTCAAAAGGTCACATATGCGTAGAAATATTTTCATCAGCAAATTTTGTCACAACTTTTAAGCGGAAATGTATAAAACGAAATTGTTCCTTAAATAATCAAAAAATTCAATATCCTTCAAAGTTTTTATGTGAGCGACATCTTGGAGAGAAAATTCGCATTTATCGTAAAATAACGAACTTTTTAAAAAGCACATTATAATTGACACGTGCAGAATTATAAGTATTATCGATGTTTAGAAACTTCAATAATTGTTACTTAAATATTTAATCGAATTTTTTTTCTATATCAATCTAATTTAAACATTGGTCAAATGAACCTCCTCGCCTATTTCACCTAGAGGGGTGAATGATGATGATAGATATCGAAGACCATAAACTCGAATATACAATGTGAACAACATTTTGGTATACATATATACTGGTGTAACATCAAATCTGAAAAAAAACGACCGCAAAATAGTGGCCTAAACGTCGACCAAGAAGATTCCAGGCAGATGTAGCCCGTTGAAGGCTTATCAGCAGTATGATGTGTAATAATGTCTATAACAGTAAAATACTGTAAAATATTACAGCCATATGAAACTTCTGAACTTTTCTGGGGATTAATATTTAGTATACGGGTCGACTCCAAATCACCACATTCACAATATCGGCAACCATGCGTTCATTGTTAGCAAAATCAAAATTTATAAAAATAGGTACGAAGGCTTAGTTGTAATAAAACTGTGTGTGTGTGTGTGTGTTTAATGAATACTTACGCATTTTAAAATGGGTTTCAGACTTGATTTTTTTTACCACGTAACAACGAGTATCTATTCGGGAAATAGTAGAACCTCAATAAATATGTATTTTAGGAAAATATGTTTTTGGCTTTTGGAAAGTGTACAAAAAATACTAAATGACAACTAATTCTAATGGAAAACTCATTAGTTTCGGTTATTTGTTCTTGTGAAATTTGTTGATCACAATCTTCAAAGGGAATTGTGCGTATAAATATCTTTTTAAAAAATGTCATTATCATTCGTTTATCATACGAGCCACTACTTAGTGATGGGCGGACGAGCTAATGGCGGCGATTTACAAACACGTTAACCACGTTAGTTGCAAGAAATGTATATTATACCAAAGTTATAGGGCTAGGCTTAAAAGGTTTCCAACTAGGCCATGACACTGGGCCGTAAATATTGTTTGTTTTGTCGCTGATGTCAGTAATCCAACTATCACGTGAGAACACTATATTTACATTTTTATACAATCCTCTTCCACTGCCTCCTCCTGTGTTATGCTCATTGCACTTTTTACGGTTTTCTCGACATCCAAAATTCCCTAATAAAAGACGGGTTTTAAATTGTCTCTGCTGTCGAAGTTCTAATAGACGTTGTTGTCGTTTAGAGTCCTTCCTGAGCATACGAACTGCCAGCAGTATTAACATGATCAGAATGAAACTCCCTGCTATAGGCACAGCTATCACTGCAGCCCGAAACCAGAGTCCACCCTCCAGCGATCCTTCTCGAATGTTGTTCGTCTTAAGTAAAAATTCTTCATCGTAATCATATATTCCTAAAAAAAACATATAAAAAATACTTGATAACATCAACTTAAAATACAGCTTAACTGAAGATAAGAAACGTATTTCAACGTAATTTAATTGATCTAAGTATGAATATTAATATTAGAGTTTATACTAGGCCTAACCACATCTTAAGTGAAGATAAGAAACTTATTTCAACGTAATTTAAATGGCCTAAGTATGAGTATTAATATTACAGAGTTCATACTAGGCCTAACCACAGCTTAAATGAAGATAAGAAACGTATTTTAACGTAACTTAACGGCACTATTTCGCCTTGGTTAAGCCTAGTATGAACTCTAATATTAATATTCATACTTAGGTCAGTTGAATTACGTTGACATAAGTTTCTTACCTTCAGTTAAACTGTGGTTAGGCCTAGTATGAACTTGAATATTAATACCCATACTGCTGCCGTAATTACACATGTCTTTCTCACAACAAAACACTTTAAATGATGCCCCAGGAGAAAGTTTCAGAGAACGAGCCTTCACTTGGCACAATGCCTTTTTCTGATCATTTAATAGTTCTAGACAACCGTGGCGGGACCGAGAGAGGTCGTTGCTGTAGCCACTGTTCTCGACGTCGGAGAAACACAAATTATGCGATGATTTACACATGTAGCCTGTGTTAACACAAGATGGAAGATTGCAGTAACATCGAATTTCACCTAAATAGAAAAAAAAATAATATTATTAAAATCATACCAGCTTTCTCGTAAAATTTGTTTACATAATCTTTATTACAAGAATAATCTTTGTGTTTGAAAAATAATTTATACTCTGAGAGCGACTGATGTTTAATCATGAGGACATTTTTAGTCATATTTGAAAGGTTCTCATCCTTAAAACACTTTTTTTTCTCTCTGATATCTGTTGAGTTGTTATACATGAAAATGGTTATTCAGAACAGCCAAGATTTGTTGGGGAAATATGATTCTTCATGGTGCATTTATTTTCGAGCAATTTTTGAGGTTTGATCTTACTCGTAACTTTAAAAGTCAGAAAATGTTAGACAAGAAAGAATGCATTCAATATACAGTAATAATTTATTTGACATTTTCAAGCACACGGTAGTGACTAAATGAAATAATTTTCAAAATAAATATTTTTAACACCCGCCACACGAGACAGTCCAGCATCTTTTAGTACTGAGCCCAGGATAGTCAACAGGGTGATAATTCCGAAAACCTGTCATCACCATCCGTCTTATATTTACTCTTAATTGTAGAAATGGCATTTTAAATCTAAGAATCGCTAGGGAAACCATCTTGCATTTGCTTCAACTTCAAAACACTACATCTTTGGACTTTACTGTTAGTTACACACAATATTGAAATTAATCGTTTCTTATATATGATTCCGGTCCCCCTTATTGAACGTAAAACAAAAAACGAGCACAATAATATTGTTAAGTTTCTATGTCAGTGCAGTAATTAGTTGACGTATCTTTTGTTTTCTTTTGTTTTGAATTTCGCGCAAAGCTACACGATGGCTATCTGCGCTAACCGTCCCTAATTTAACAGTGTAAGACTAGAGGGAAGGCAGCTAGTCATCACCACCCACCGCCAACGCTTGGGCTACTCTTTTACCAACGAATAGTGGGATTGACCGTCACATCATAACGCCCCCACGGCTGAAAGGGCGGGCATGTTTGGTGGGACGGGGGATTCGAACCAGCGACCCTCAGATTGCGAGTCGAGTGCCTTAACCACCTGGCCATGCCGGGCCTTGACGTATCTCCGATTCAGTTGGTATGACAAATCGATTAGGATATATTCGAATAAGTTCTTCCCTCATCCGACCTGGACCCACGGGTTTAGTTTAATCACAACACTTAAACCACTCACAACTACATCTAGAACATTTTAAACATGTTTCAATGCTACATCGTTTTACTTTACTTTTACATGTTAACTTCTTAATGTTCGCTCAGGCCCGGCATGGCCAAGTGGTTAGGGCGCTTGACTCACAATCTGAGGGTCGCGAGTTTGAATCTCCGTCCCACCAAGCATGCTCGCCCTTTCAGCCGTTGGGGCGTTATAAT